AACTTCACTAAATAAACATACCAAATCAAAGACATTGCGATATGTTAAGAAAATATGCGGGCGCGATATCAAAAAGGGACCTCGAGGAGATTGACCGCGTATCTCTCCCAGCTATCTGGCCGGAGCCCTTATCTCTGAGACAGAGGAGGCGTGGTATTTGAACATTGCGTGGAATGGCTTACTCGTAGGATTTCAGTTTGAGACAAGTTTGATCTTGTTCAGTGTTGAACAGAATGATCACCTTTGTGTCAAAATGAAAAGACCTCTCCAAAAGACCAGATTTTGCCACGCTTAGCTGAAGAACGCGGCCACGCCTACCACATCTCAGGGATTCTGCTGGTACACCCAGGCATATACCAATTGATTTAAGAGAATGGAGGCTCTCTAGTCACTCAACCGGAGACCTACTCTTGATGTCTATCGCTGCTAAACCGATAGGTAGTCAATCTAGTGAACCGTTGTGCAATCTGCATTACATGAATAATGCCTTTAGATCAGCTTTTTATTGAACTTCGAACATTTAGTACCTTATCTATGAGTAGCACTTACTTTGCATTGCTCTGACGTAATTCGTAGCAATTCGGATACACACTGCTCAGTTAATTTATTGATATTAAAATACCACGATGTTGATCCTGTGCCTAAAAGAGAACCAGAATGGATGGAACAGTCCTTAACAGGCCAACATTCAACACTACACTGTACGTTGTCGCTTGGATAAAACTGGATATAAAATGCAAAAGCCCGATCATATTCAAATGATACGGGGATATCTAACATCAGGAGATGGCGACCAAAAATAAATTCTTCTGTATCTCTTTTCCTATTGCAACTCTTAAAATCACCCCCCCCCCGTGATCAAGACGCGGTAAGCAGTAAAAAAAAGGAAAGAAGATGTGACGTTTCTGATAACCATCGCAATGGTGCAAATGTCGCCGAAACCTGTTCCATGTCAAAGTGCGTCCATTCTTTGCGTCAGCGTCTTGGGCGTCTTGAGCGTCTGCCAACGTTTGTGGTCAGCATTTTGAGCGTCCATCAGCGTTTTGACTGATTAAAATGTGCAGGTATCAACTATCGCTGAAAACGCAAAACGCTGCAGCAAAGTATGAACGCACTCTACTGCGGCATGAAACACACCTACGAAAAAACCGTATAAAATGAAAAGAAGTTGTAACCATCTTCAAATTTTTGTGCCGATGAGGTTATGCGGTGGAACTCTGCATTTCTAGAATTCTTCTGGACAAAATCGCTGTCCTCAGAGCCTCAGTCTCTGAGGAAAGCGGTCTAGTCGAAATTCAAAAAATACAACCCACAAGGAAAAAAACCCATATAACAACTTAATAACCACAAAAACAAAATCATCATAAATCACACAAACATAGATCAAAATTCATGTTTCTTGGTCTCAAATGTACGCGTATGCATTATAGTACGTACGAACGCGTAAGAATGCAATAAAAAGCATGAAACCGTACCTGTACAAATAGCAATGCCGCTGCTTTTTTGTTTAACCATTTTTCCATTATCGATTTGTATTTCATAATATGATACCCGTGAAGAGAGACTTTCACCAATAAAAACTTCGTTGAGTGCGAGAACCGGTAACTGCATCGTAACTCTCTCAGGTGGAGAACGCAGACGTTTCCTGTAAAGATGAACAATGTTTTCGGGTTACTGGCTTTTCTCAGTATTCCCGTTCCACGTGAACAGTCTTGTTCGCTGGGGCATGACAGGGGATGGGTTTGGCGGGCGCGACACTAGTTTATTTCCCATCAGTTTTTGAAGCGCGCAAGCGACGAGACTATATAATCTCGAGACTATACCGTTTTCCATCAGCTGTTGTCGTTTCGGGCGCGCTTCAGAGCTGGTTGCGAGCGCGCGGTATGCGCGTCTAAACCAGCCTCGCTGATACGCGAACAAGACTGTAGGTACACTCGACGGCAGTTTGGAGGGCGAAATTCCTGGAAAGAAGTAGGATGTAGTGGAATTCAGCAGGATAGTATATAGGATAGGGGGGAAGGGGTGCCATTCCAAATTCCTCCTCCCTCCCTATAAAATGCAAAATTTCCGCAACACTCCACATTATTTTTCCGCTAATTGACAGTAACTGATGAATGTTCCCTCCCATAAAGAATCCCACTGCGCATTATCGTTTCTGTCATCAATTTTTTATTGGTTGCAATTACTGAAAAAAGAAACAAATATTCTGTTTCACCGAATCCCCTCCTTTTACGTTAATCACCCCTAGTGATAGGCGGGTGCATATTCCCTCTGATGGTCTTTATTCTAGTTGGCTGTATCGACAACGTATTCGAATAACTCTGAGCGGTGACAGGCAAGCAGGTGTAGGCGATTCGATTGAGCTTCATGATCGGCAGTTGAATCGTATGCCGGCTACCACGCGGTGGATGGACAGTCACGTAACTGCGTCTTCTTCTGTTTACCATACCACTCAAGCAGCGAGCCCTGCCAAGGAAGAACTCTTGTTCAGC